GGAATGAATCCTGTGGGGAGAGGGGACAGGAACTGTGGGGAGAGGGGATGGGGACTATGGGGAGAGGAATGAATCCTGTGGGGAGAGGGGACAGGGACTGTGGGGAGAGGGCGAGTCCTGTAGGGAGAGTGGAAGAGGAATGAATCCTATAGGGGACTGGGGAGAGGGATGGACTGTGGGGAGTCCTGTGGGAGAACGGACGAGCCCTGCAGGGAGTTCTGTAGGGACAGGGTGAGTTTTGTGGGAGGAGGGACAAATCCTGTAGGGAATTGTGGAGGAGGATGGGATCAGCTCTGGAGGGAGTCCTGCAGGGAAATAGAATAAGTGTTAAAGGAAGAGAAATGTGTTCTTTGGGGAGAGGGATGAATTCTGTAAAGATTCCTGCAGGAGGATGGAAAGAGCTTTTTGAGGGGTTTTATGGAGAGTTCTGTGAGAGAACGGGAGGAGTCCTGCAGGGGATTCCATAGGGAGACAGGACAAGTCTTAGAGGAAGAGGGGCAAGTCCTGTAGGACCATGGGGTGAGTTCTGCAGGGAATCCTGCCGTGGGGTGGGATGAGATTTATGGAGAAGGGGAGATGGGATCAGTCCTACAGGAGATGGGATGAGGAATGCGGGGAGAGGGATGAGCCCTGCAGGGGTTCCTGTAGGAAAATGGGAAAGCTGTGACAGGGAGAAGGGCTGGATCCTATGGGATGTCCTCCAGGGAGCTGGGATCAGTCTGATGGGGAGAGGGATGAGGAACACGGGGAGATGACCAAGCCCTGGGGACACGCAGCAACTCCCAGGGGCTGGGATGAGCCTTCCAGAACATTCCACAGCCAGCCAGGCCGGGCCAGGCCAAGCCCCCCACGGGATGCGCGGGGCCGGGGGGACGCAGGGCGAGCCCCGAGGGGCTCCTGCTGAGAAACTCTGCCCGCAGAGGAGTTCTCCAAGATGAAGGAGGAGGTGCCCACGGCGCTGGTGGAGGCCCACGTGCGCAAGGTGGAGGAGGCGGCCAAGGTGACGGGCAAGGCCGACCCTGCCTTCGGGCTGGAGAGCAGCGGCATCGCCGGCACCGCCTCGGACGAGCCCGAGCGCATCGGTCAGAGGGGCCGGGGGGCTCTGGGGGGCTCTGGGGGGCTCTGGGGGCGATGGCAGCGGGGTCTGAGCTGCGTTTGTGTCCCCAGAGGAGAGCGGGGCGGAGGAGGCGCGGGCAGAGGCGCAGCCGGCCGAGGAGAAGAAGGAGGTGAAGGTAAAAAGGGGTCCGGGGGTCTGGGGGGGGCAAACGGGGTGGGTTTGGGGTGCCCACGGGGGTGGTTCTTCCCCAGGAGCCCCGGGATGGCACCGCCGAGGAGGAGGCCAAGGAGAAGGCCGGAGAAACCCCCAAAAAGGAGGAGGAGAAGGGGAAGGAGGCGGAGGGCGAGAAGGAGCCCGACAAGGGTGACGGCGACAGCGCAGGTGAGGGGGACGTGGCGGGGCTGGGGGCACGCCGAGCCCCCCACGGCGCCGCTGACCCGGCCCTGCCCGGCCACAGGGGAGCCCGAGAAGGAGAAGGAGCTGAAGGAGGGGCCGGACGAGGCGCCCAAGGAGCTCCCGGAGCCCGAGGCCGAGCGCAAGGCCAAGGTGGAGCGGGACATCGGCGAGGGGAACCTGTCCACGGCCGCCGCCGCCGCGCTGGCCGCCGCCGCCGTCAAGGCCAAGGTGAGGCCGGGGCTCGGTCCGGGCTCGGTCTGGGCTCGGTCCGGGCTCGGTCTGGGCTCGGTCCGGGCTCGGGGCCGGGCTCGGTCCGGGCTTGGAGCCGGGCTCGGGGCCGGGCTCGGGGCCGGGCTCGGGGCCGGGCTCGGTCCGGGCTCGGGGCCGGGCTCGGTCCGGGCTCGGGGCCGGGGCTCGGGGCCGGGCTCGGTCCGGGCTCGGTCCGGGCTCGGGGCCGGGCTCGGTCCGGGCTCGGGGCCGGGCTCGGGGCCGGGCTCGGTCCGGGCTCGGGGCCGGGCTCGGGGCCGGGCTCGGTCCGGGCTTGGAGCCGGGCTCGGGGCCGGGCTCGGTCCGGGCTCGGGGCAGGGGGACGCTCCGGGTGTGATGTCTGACCCCCGGCCGCCGTCCCCCGGCAGCACCTGGCGGCCGTGGAGGAGCGCAAGATCAAGTCCCTGGTGGCGCTGCTGGTGGAGACGCAGATGAAGAAGCTGGAGATCAAACTGCGGCACTTCGAGGAGCTGGAGACCATCATGGACCGCGAGCGCGAGGCCGTGAGTGCGCGGGGAAGGGCGGCAGCCGCTCGGGCCCGGCCCCGCGGGCCCCTCTGAGCCCGCTGTCCCCGCAGCTGGAATACCAGCGGCAGCAGCTGCTGGCCGACCGCCAGGCCTTCCACATGGAGCAGCTCAAGTACGCCGAGATGCGCGCCCGGCAGCAGCACTTCCAGCACCTGCAGCAGCAGCAGCAGCAGCAGCAGCCCCCGCTGCCCCCCGGGGCACAGCCCCTGCCCGGCGCCGCCCCCCTGGCCCCCGCCGCCCACCCGCTGGCCGCGCCCCCCGCCCTGGTGGGCCCCGCCGAGCCCGTGGGGCAGCCCCTGCCCGGGGCGCCCCCGCCGCAGCCGCCCCCGGGAGCCCCGGCGGGCCCGCACGGTCAGTGGGGGGCTCCGGGGCGGGGGGATCCGGGGGGGGGTCTGGGGGTGGGGGCGGAGGATTTGGGGGTGGGGGGCTCACTGGTGCTGTCCCCGGTGCTCAGTGAGGGGGGGTCTCAATGTTGGGGTGAGGGGGGGTCTCGATGCTGGGGTGAGGGGAGGTCTTGGTGTTGGGGTCTGTCCCCAGTGCTCAGTGAGGGGGGTCTCAAATGTTGGGGTGAGGGGGGGGTCTCAGTGTTGGGGTCTGTCCCTGGTGCTCAGTGAGGAGGAGTCTCAGTGTTGGGGTTTTGGGGGTCGTTCGGGGGTTCCGGGGCGGTTTTGGGGGGGCTCCGGGGCGGGGGGGTCGCAGCGCGAGCCGCGTGTGTTTTCGTATCTGTCTGGCCTGGTGGAATTATGAAAAATTCGCCCATCGACAGCGCGGCTCAGGCTCGATTAGGGCAGATGGGACATGACAGCCCCCGATCAATACGGGCCCGGCCGCCCAAGTGTCAAGTAATGAATCAATTTCGACTAAATTTTCCATTTTTCAGGGGCCGTTCAGCGAGAGAAGAATATCCTCTTTTGTAAAGATATTATTATCGATTGCGGCGGCAATTTGACATCAGGGGTAGTTAATTCCACTCAGAATAAAATTGAAAACACTTGAGAGCGGGAGAGAGGGAGAGACAAAGGATGGGGGGGAGAGAGAGGGGGGCGTGGGGGGCGCCGGGAGGGGGGAAAGGGGCGGAAAATGGGGCTGGGGGACGGGAGAGAGGGAGAAAAGGGGGTTCGGGGTGGGAAATGGGTCTGGGGGACGGCAGAGAGGGAGAAAAGGGGGTTCGGGGTGGGAAATGGGGCTGGGGGATGTGAGATGGGGTAAAGGGGGTTCGGGGGTGGGAAATGGGGCTGGGGGA